CGCAAAGGATGAACCCCTGAATGCTATATCACAGGATGAGAAAGTTGCCTCATATTCGACACCAAAGGCAGGATCCTTGCAGCTGCGCTCCTCGGACCTTCCCCAGATGCCCCTGCAGGAAAGGGCAATCGCTTACTTTTTGTATCATTATGATCTTGAATCGCCTAGCCAGAACAAAATCGGCGATATGGGTTTTGTTATCCTATCGAAGAGCGACAAGGAATGGGAGCATTACCGACTGGCATTTGAAGCTTGCGCTATGGCGTCGTTCATCAATGAGACCGGCGGTCAGCTTGAATACAAAAGCTTGACTATTGAGACATACAATAAAGCGCTGATGGCGATGCATAGCGCACTTCAAGATCCAGGTGTCGTTTGTGAGGATGCAACCTTGGCTGCAGTTTTACTTCTAGCGCTGTTCGAATGCTTAAATCCTACGACTGGGGAGCAAGAAAGCTGGCGCAATCACGTACAGGGTGCTATTGAGTTAGCCCGAGGACGCGGTCGGAAGCAGATTGACACCCGAATTGGACAAATGCTATTCAGGGCAACCCGCACTTTAATGGTAAGATTTCCATAAACTTCTCAAGTCCACGGTTTTATCGGGTTGATCTTCAAGTTTACATCGTGATGTAGACTCTCTAATAGCTAACTTGCAACAGGTAATATATAGTCTCGCAACACTAGAAGACGAAAAGGAGAAAGAGCTCTGGTGGTCCGGAGACGATGAATGCACTTCGACCCAAAAGCTTTGCGTTGGAGTGGCTTCGCTTAGCGCAAAGGCTACGGTCCTTCTTGGTCCGTCCGGACATAAAGAGGAAGTCGAAGTCGAAGTCATGCTTAAGCGGTGTCAAGCTCATGATCGAGCTTGCAAAGCCAGGTGGGAGGAGTTGTCAAAGAGTACACAGGGCATTAGCTCTGACAACACGGACCCCTGGCTGCTGATGCTTCTGAATATGCTGACATGTGCACGAATCCTCCTGAACTCAATCATTATGAGATGCGCGACCTGGACTTACAAGGTCCCCAATTATCAAACCTCTGAAGAGTATGATGGCGCCTGTTCTGCTCTGGCGGAAATTATTCTTCACAGTGCCAAGGTCAACGAACAGCAACTCTGCTGGGCCGAAGAAGCGCAGTCCTCGTTTGCGGAACTCGACGTTCAATTACAGCCTGGGCGGGATTCGAGCAGATGCGCCATCAACAAGTGGATAGAAGATAATAGGAGCCTCTGGGAAGAGAAGCCGCTGGTAGGGCTACAGCCGTTAGCTGTTATCTGGTCTTTAGAATGCCTCAACGACGACCAGAAAATCGCCATCGATACCCAATTACGACGCATCGTTGGTTGTACGGTGGATCAAATACGCCGTTCGCCATCCTATACTACTGAGGCGTGCACACGACCTTCGCCCAGTCTTTCCGAACCCGCAACGGATACTCCCGAGGCTGGTTCGCGAGATTCTTCCCCAGCTTCCACGGGACGCTTTCGGTACACGCAACAGGATGATGACACTTTACTTGAACTTTCGAACGAAGGCATCCCGTGGCGTGAAATCCGAGACCGCTTTCCCAAACGCCCTGACAGTTCTTTAAAGACTCGTTTATGGACATTAAGAAATTGTCAGCTCACTGCTGATGAGGATCGTCTGCTTATTCGACTAAAAGAGGAAGAACATTGTTCCTTCAGAGATATTGCCCCAAAAATGCGCCGCCACCGGGCTCTTGTGTCGAATCGCTACAATCAATTACGACGTAACCGTGCAATGAATAATTAACATGCCTGTAGACATGAATATCAAGCAGCTTGTTGACTTAAGGCATCAAGACACTTTTCGCGGTTGCTCTAAAAAGAGGCTTCGAAAGTTGTACTCTGAGTACAAGTCTCACTCCTTGGCTGCCAGCCTTAAGGAGGTTAAGGTTCATCCTCAGAATGGGATGTGATGATAGCAGGAATGAATGGGAAGAAAATTCCAACGAAACAATTGCAGTTATCGAGAGCTTTCTTCGTCAACACGTGTATAACCACGAAAGTGATTCACAAGACTGCTCAGGCAGATCATCGAGCATGGCACAAGCGAATTGATGACGATTCAAGTTGATAACAAACTTTTAGAGCTCACCGCAGATACAATCACAAAAGCGTACAGAAAGAACGGCCAGGGGACAGGTCCGGTTTGTGTCATATTTGGTCCTGTAATACGATTCTAGAATATCTTGGGGACAATTAAACAGCATGATATGGTTCTCGTACCTCTTCTTGTCAAGTACATCAGATTGTCAAGGATCAGCAAAACCAAACAACAGCCCTTGTGACTCTAGGATCACGCAAAGTTTCGACAGTAAATAAGACACAGATCGACGGGATACATATATGATGATGAGGGGTAGAAATTAACTAAGCGATGATATAAAAAGACTCGTTTGTCGTCGCAGTCTCTCCCCATAACTTGACCTCTTAGCATTATCGCCATCTGACCTGAGGCAACGAACCAACATTCGCGGAAGGTAATGCGCAGGGGCAAACTGATCCCACGTTTGAGCTTTATGACTACATGTGTGGCTACTATCTTTTGAGGAAAGTTAATGAGTGATTAACTTTTGTCGCTACCCCAAAGCCATAAAATTGAAACTACATACTGTATACAATGCCTATCAACTCCCATCCTTGCTTGCAAGACGCTGTCAGTATGGTCCCCCAGAGCATAGAAACGACATGCTGAAGAGTTTGCAGAATTTTTAATCTTAATATATACAGAAACAATAAAGCAACACTCGAGTCAAGAACAGGAGGTAGTAATGGCCATCCGAAATGAGCCCCTACAAAGTCAATACGCATTCAATGTTGCCGCTAGCATATACGAACCATTCCAGGAAGTCTTCGGTCTTGCTTGGCGACATATTCATACTTTAGTGTTTTTGTGGACAATTGTTACACTATTGAGTCAAATAAGGCGAACATTCCCACAATCGAGGCAGTGTCAGCTGCCTCAACCAACCACACAATCGGAACGGCAAAAGCAGCGTGTCAAACTCGCAATACCAATGCTATATAATATTAAGTTACACTTCGTCTGGAGGCCGAAAAAAGGAGGGGTTATAGGAAAACTTGGTGTGTCGCTGACAGATATCAAGCTATTGGTCATTGCAGAGCGGTCTAGTGACTCGGAATGGTCGCTTAAAGGTCAGGCCAAATTCTATGGAAGTTTGTCCATGGTCAAATGCGCGACTGATATTCAGTGGAAAATGAAACCGCAATTCTTTCAGGGTCTTCCACAATCTTGGTGGCTGAAAAAAAGGGCGCCATTTCAGATGCTCATCCTCAAAGAGGCACGTGTCTCAAGTGGTGATACGGCTGTAGTATAAAACATAGGTCCTACTAGAATATTGCTGATGAACCTGAACCTTGCCTACTCTTCAGGTGATCTGCAGAGGGTTTCCCACATAGTTTTTTGGTCCCGGGGGGAGATCAACCACCATTCCGTACGGGGGAGGTTGAGGTAACAGAAGGTAACCCAGCATCATGTTACCTTTCGGGCTGTCAACGAGGAAAATATCAACCCGGAAATTTTGACAGCCTTGAGGTCTCCGTGAACGCGCTTTGTCCTAAGCTATTACAAAACCTCCCATTCAATTTGATACGTTGCCATGTCTTCTCACTCTTCACCCCCGGTCTCTGCAATCTAGTTTCGGCTAGACTATATCTCTAGGATCTGCAGCTTACATTGTTGCCTGTGGTGCAATTCCAAGTTAGCTAAGTGAACATTCAATCTGTCAAAAATGATGAGAATATTGAGAGTCTATTAGCCTTAACCACTACTCAAGTCAAGAGGACGAAGGTCTCAGTTATATACACAAAGGTGTCCAAGTGGATCGGGACGCCTCCTCGACCGAAGGCGGAATATCGTTTGACACAATCGTACGATATGGGTCCGGCCCCTTTCACATCCGGTGCATTCAGGAGCAGCGCAATCCAAATCCTAGGATGGTTTGCTCTAACCGCCTTGAGCATTCAATGGTGACATTTTAAAAGGTCGAAGACTTTCTTATAATGGCCTATAAATACCTCAACCTCAACATTTCACCTCCATGAAACGAGGATATCTTCATACCAGCTACGACCACTTTCATGAGCTGGTGTTCATAAACAAGCAGGCACTTCTACAAGTATCGAAATGGAAACCGAGACCAGCCTGACAGCCCCGCCGAACACACCCGAAAAAAACCCTTACGAGGGTGTTTGTCAACGCAAGGTCGATGCCCAAAGTCGCAATTTGGACCCTACTTCTTGCCAGTCCTTTTACCTGGCTCATGAAATAATTGAAATATCTTCTGAGAGTGACGGCAATAGTGATGAGGCTACCGTTCCGAACAGTCCAAGAGTTATTGAAGAAGATATCAACGAAGGCGACCAGCCCTCCGATAATGCTGCCCGTGCAGATGCAGCCGAGGATGAAGTCAATGGCAATATCGAAAAATCCAAAGACGGAAGCATTGCATACTCCAATAGCCTTTTAGTAACTGAATGTCTTCCGGATGGGGAACACACCAGGTTTTCTAATACGGCGGAGTGGCCATTGAGCAAGTACAGTATCATCACCAGGAGACTTGACAGCACTGCATGTGAAGAATGCGGTTCTATCGGGCAAAAGTTTGGTGAAGGGGGTCATGTTGGCGGCAGTGAAGGAAGTAGCGAATGCAGCAATGGGAAACTGAAGAGAATCTACGATAGATACGAATCACCGCCCGACGAAGTTCCAGAGCATAACCCACTATCAAAAAGGAGAAGAACAGCAAAGCGTCTATAACCAAACTCAAAGATTCTGATATTACTGCCGAGTATAGCATTGATCATCTTGGAGTGGTCTAGTGGCTTGGAGTGGTTCCATCAAAGATCAGGAGAAATAAAATGCTGCTCAGCTATACAGTCATGATCATTTGCTTACTATAACATATTGGTTGTTGAAGCATGCCGCCGTTTCAGGGCTTCACTTCGCCTTGATGGTTGAAAAGGCAGGTTCACATTATGATATGGTTGCAGTATAATATACAGATTTTCCCAGTTGGACTCGTATGGACTTTGAGCCTCTCTCGCTACTGAAGCTATTTTGCTATAAGAGGGTTCGGTAGGCCTTGTGGTTGGCCGTTCTCCGGTACATTTGACCAGCGGTGGACGAGAAGAGCTTTCGTGTTGACACCATCGTTTTCACGCACTCATGTTTCGCCCTGCATAGCAAGAAGCAATACCATGGCAGGGAGTATGAGCTCCCATGATGTCGCATGCTTACCGAAACCAAGAGCAAAGTTGCCGTTCGGAAGGATCGACGCTGCAAGAGATTAACCGCCATTGCGTTGAGGGAGTGGTCTGGACCCAGCTGCAAAAGCACGGGACATCAACTGCAGTTGGGAATAAAGACGGATGGACGGCACAACATCCGCGGTGTAGAAGGCTGAGACTGTTGAATTGCATTTCACTGGCCGGGACCAGGTTAGGTTGCATGTATGAGTGATGCTTGCCAGCCTTCGGTTGAACTAACCACACCGAAGAGCACAACCATGCAAAGGACAAGTCACAATTACCATGCTCCCGAGGTCAGCAAACAGTCCCAGGGAGTCAGGCAGCTCGTATTCCCACCGGAGGGCTTTGCCCTGTTATTCGTTGCGTCGTCCTGGGGTGCGTTATCACAGCAACATCTGCTCTCCCTGTCACTGCGAGACAACCCAACCCATGCAATCCCACGATACGGCTCTCAAATCACTTCTTCTACTGGCTAAGATATCTGCAAGGCGACCAAAAGGCTGCCATTGCTCGGTGCGAACCACTTTCATCAGAGGCTCGATTGCGCGGCATAAGAACTGCCCTTAGGAGCCACATTTGTTCGAACCTGGAGCCCTCTCAATGTCTCGTCCCATTCTTACTCTTGAAGACATCCTTAACACAACAACTCACCCTGGAGAGCGTATCAGGTGTAGTCCTGTTGTGCGATAAACCCGAAATTCGCAAGCGTCACACGAGAGTATCTCGGAATCATACCCACCCTTAACCGCCACACGTATACCCCTTAGACTATGGACTCGGCTCCATGGGATACAAAACCACTGTCACAGTCATTGGTGACCAATGAGCAACTCGGAGAAGGTACTCGTCTCTTGGAACCCACCTCTAGCTGCGATGAAGGCGGCTTTGAGTGCTTCCCGCGCCGTTGCGGCGCTAGCACCGAGTCACAGTGAGTTGGCCTATTACTTGGAAATGGTAATCCGAGATCTTAAAAGGATGTTGAATTGTGGTGTTAACAGCATTAACTAGTAGGACGTATTCATCCGTCGCGTCAACTGCTCAGCAACGCAACTTATCACCGATTCCGCTCAGGAGTCGCGTTAGACCAGTTGACAGAGATGAGGACTTCGTCTGCAGTGAAAATCCGGCGAGACCTGGGGGATCTCGTAAGCACAGAGGCCAGTATTTTGATGCGGCGTCGGGGTCAAGAATGCTTCTGCAACCAGATACTCGGTCCATATCTTCAGACCAGCTTGCCGCCGAAGTCAACGGCATCTATGCCGGACTGGTTCTACTCGAGAGCAAATCCATTGAATAT